TTGTGATTATATGATACTGAATTTTCTTATCTAATTAAATGTCCAACTTATCATAATTTTAATGAAATATTATAATCATACTGATTAGGGAAAAAAAAAGTTGATGAGTAAATCATATATCAATAAACTAATCTTTGTATTGATGCTATCCAAGCATTTCAAGAGTACTTCACAATTCATATTGTGAATTCTAATTCTATGAGATCATTAATTTGCATATTTGATTGAACAATTGAATAAAATTTTGGAATAGGAAAAGAAACACATAACTAATCCATAGATTAGTCTTGTGTACTTAACATGGAGTTACATATGGTGTCCCCCATGTACCAAATGAGTTTGTTAACTTGTGAATTTACAAAACTAATTAATTACACTATCTTACAAGTACTTAATCTTGTGACTACTTTCTTCATCATTTGAAGGAAATTAATATATAAAGCATGCCTTCACTAGCAAAACTTTAAAGCTGATGAGACATAATGATTGCTTATATAGTTCAGTTGCTTCTAGTGGAAATAAAAATTTGAAAAAAATAGGAGAAAAAACCTCACTGGTTTTTCCATACAAACATGTCACTATAATTTTTTTATTTTTATTTTTTGTGTGTGTGTGGTTAGTTACCAATGTACCAGGTTATTATGTAAGGGATGGTATGGTTCTGTTTGGATTTTTAGATTTATAGAGATTTGTAAGCCAAAATCTTGAATAAAATAATAGAGATGCTAAAAAAAAAAAAGGACTTTTCAGGCATTTATAAATTCTAGTAAAAGCCACAAAAATGTTGAAAAATCTTGATAAGCAATGAAAATTTTTACTTTGATAAATATGGAAAATAGAGTTTATGGTGTTGGAGGTGGTAGGCACCACCCCACCATAGTAAAATATTTTTGGGGTTGAATATTGGAACATACAATTTAAACATTTGAAAATAATCAAATTTTTAAGGAGAGTTTTAAAAAAAATAAAAATAAAAATTAGTTATAATAGGAAAAATATTTGATATCCTAAAAAAAAATACTCACAATTCTATCCACAATAATGTAGCAGGATATATGTTAACTTTTGATTTGTTACACACTTAATGATGGTGGGCCCAACTCCCATGTCACATCACTGTGGTTGAATTTATAAGTATAAATGTGTGGGTCTATAGTATTATTCTTTATTATATTATATTATCATCCAAGAACAAAATTTTGAAGTTGTATGAGAGGGTTCAAGAACGTTGTTGGAAAATTTGAAGATCTTTGAAGAAAATTCAAATTCTCTAGAAATGATGATAGGCTTAGATTCTTCAATAGTTACAACTAAGAACACAAAAACAAAGAGATGATAAAGATAAGAGATTAGGTGAATAAGAAGGCAAAGTAGTTAGAGACAGAATAATGGCAAGGCTCTTACATGGATCTCTCACTTTCACTCTCAAGGTTGATAATAGAGAAGGGAAATCAGTTCTTTCTCAAGAGTTGTCTCTCCAAAATCCATCTCTTGTAAAACTATGGGTGGGTGCTACTTATAGGCACCTCATGATGTAGGATAAAGCCTATGTGTAAGGCATATAGAGAATATTCTTTCTAACCATCTTGTCTGAGGAGATGACCTCTCCGAGGATGAGGAAAACCCTAAAGAGGAGATCAACCTCTCGGCGAATCTTTCTTCTTAGCCACACCTAACTAATGATCCCCAATCATCTCACCAAAGGGTTAGGGCTAGTCCTAGAAGACCTCCCGCCACTAAATATTGCTAAGTCTCATGTACCCCTTGGGGTCGTGCCACCTCGACCCGAATATAGGCCAAATTAATCGACGAGTGAATTTATCTCCGCCCATCGTCCTCGGGACTCGAGCCCTTTGTTCGGGCTCTAACCTCACTCATGATTCTGGTAGGTTGATCTCGGAATGCTCCAAGTCCACAAATGTTCTGGATCTCACAAATGGAGCGGCTTCTAGATTGTGATCGAATCTATTCGAAACCCGAGTGCCTCATCTCTAGGCTTGCTCAATACACTTTAGAGTCCGGGCCTGAGTAAGTCTCTAAGTTCATGGATCCGAACTCTTTCGAGGCTTAGAGCGATCTGGCCTGTTTGATGGTGATAAATCTGGGCCCACCAATCTTGGACTTTTTAATTGGGCCTAATTAATTTAGTGGGCTCAAGTTAACTCCTCTTACAGAAGCTAAGTTTTGAGTAGTTTCTACCATCAGTATCCCAATGAGATGTTTGTAGTCAAACAAACTTATAGTTGTACTTTGCTTAAATAAAACATTTAATTTTGTTTAATTTTATTATAAGTTTTGTTTGGATCATCAATTTGAGTCTATTAAGAGGAAAGGCATGAGGTGGACCACGGATTTAATTTTGTCATATTTCTGTCCCATTTATTTTCCCTCCACAAATCAACCACTTAATTGATAATGACATAAAAATTTTATTAATAATAATGAGATTAACAATCCAACTTAAAAATTGAGTTTGACTTCTCTCATATTCACATCTCAACATGAGAGAATTTGAAAAGCCTGTAGAGCTCATCATGGGTGCCGTGTCGATTATTTGAATAATTCATTTTTAAGATCCTCAATATATATCATTCATAAAAAAAAATTATTTCGATCTGATAATCATAATCTTTTAATATTTTTAATTTGTCTCCGAAAAAATAGTTGACAAATATCTTTTTTAAAAATATATAATTCATTTTTTTAGAGACAAACACATTAAAATAAAAATATTACAATTATTAGATCAACATAATTTTTTTATGAATATGTATTGAGGATCCTAAAAAATAAACGATTTAAATAATCAAAATAAAACTCGTAATGAGTTTTATGAACCTTCAAATTTTTCATGTTGAGATGTTAGGATATAAAAAACTGAATCTTAAATTTTTTGTTAACATAAGGACTAGGCTTGCATGTCCCTGTCAAGTATCAATGACCTGGTCCTTACTCTCTACTTCTGCTAATGATATTATGACACACTGATTTTCACAGTTAAAAGTAAATAAATTCATTTCCAAATGGTCCCCAATAGCTAAAAGTGGCTAATATGAAAAGTAGCTCAAAAAAGTTTATCGGTCACCAATACTGCAATGAAATGATCAATATATAGACACATTAACTGCAATGATATAGACTTCATACAACAAAACAAAATATCAAGGCAACCAATGGCCCAAGAATTAGCTCAATGCAGTGAAAACATCAAAACATGTAAATCTTTATTGAGTGTGGATTTAAAGGGTGCCGGCCAAAGCAATTTTCACGTGAATACATTATATACCAAGGAATATTGATAATGACATTTTTATCATTTCACATTGTATGATAGGATTCAAGAACGTCGTTGAAAAATTCGAAAATTTTCGAAGATTCTTGAAGAAAAATTCAAATTCTCTAGATAATGATAAGAGGCTTAGATTTTCAATAGTCACAACTAAGAGCACAAAAGCAAAAAGATGATGGAGATAAGAGATTGGGTGAAGAAGAAGACAAAATAGTTAGAGAGAGAATAATGGCAAGGCTCTCTCATGAATCTCTCACTTTCACTCTCAAGATTGATAATGGAGAAGGGAAATTAGTTCTTTCCCAAGAGTTGTCTTTTCAAAATCTATTCCTTGTAAAACTATGGGTGGGTGCTATTTATAAACACCTCATGATGTAGGATGGAGCCCATGTGCAAGATACATGGGGAATATTCTTTCTAACCACCTTATCCGAGGAGGTGATCTCTTCGAGGATAAGGAAAATTCTCGAAGAGCAGATCAACCTCTCGGCAAAACCATTCTTCTTTGCCACACTTAATCAATGATTCCCAATCATCCCAAAGGGTCAGGGGTATCCCAGAGGACACCCTGCCATAGAAGGGTCAAGGGTAGTTCAAGAAAACGCCTTGCCGCAAATATTACCGAGTCTCAGGGACCCCCTACATCGTGCCACCTCGACCCGGGTACAGGTTAGTGTAACTGAAGAGTGAATTTATCTCCACTCGTCGTCCTCGAGATCGGGTCCTTTGTTCGGACTCTATTACGCCCATGGTTCTGGTACGTAGATCCCGGAAAGCTCCGATTCCGCAAGTGTTTTGGGACTCATTAATGGAGCGGTTTTTAGATTGCGTCTGAATCTGTTCGAAACCAAATGCCTTGGATCTCTAGGTTCGTATATCCGAACCCTTTCGAGTCAGGGCCCGAGTAAGTGTCTAGATTTGTGGATCCAAACCCTTTCGAGGCTTAGAGCGATTCAACCCATTTGATGGCGATAAATTTGGACCCACCAATCTTGGACTTGCGATAAGTTCGGGTCCACCAACCTTGGACTATTGGGCTTAATTAATTTAATGAGCTCAAATTAGCTCCTCTTACACATATAAAACTTAATCAGGCAAAATATAATTTATAACTATGTTACTACCACATCATCCTAAAAATTGATTCTATTTAATAATGCTAGTGATAGATCATTTTCCTTCGTAACTTTTTGGAAGGGAGGTGGGTGTGAAAAAAAATGTAATTGTGGGTATATATCACGACACCCACAAAAGATAGAATTGTCCTAGTAATTAGGCCAAGAAAGAAAAAGGAAAGATCAAACTGCCCTTGGTAAAATTACATAGCCTGAAAGGTGCACAAAACAAGCCTCAACTACCAACCCAGACACCGTCAAAAATATTTTTTGGGAGGACACAGTCTAATGTCTCAATGTATATCCATTCTGGCTTCAAATTGAAGTTTCTGTTAATTTTTAGGGCAAAGACCAAGTGGATAGAGACCACCAAAAAATAAATAAATAAATAATTGTCATTAAATTTAAGGTTTCTCTCAATGTGCCCCTCATGGTGATCTATTTGTTGCTCTCGATACCATTTTCTGCGGTTTAACTTACCATATTGATTTATCACTATCTATATATTCTTATTCTGAATTTCCCAATAACATTTTGCTTTCTTGGGGGTTGACAAAAGCAATTTGAGGTCAATTGATGACTAGTATCCTAGGGCATACAAGAAGAAGTCAAAAATTTATAAACATGAGACTTTTTAGTCAATGGTGATACATTAGAAGCTATCCAAAATTTGATACTGAAATTTAACTTTCTTCCAATAACAGACTTTACATCTACCATCTTTCCCAACAGCACTCTGATAATGTTTATAGCTTCATTTCTTTTTTGATTGAAAGTTCACTTATTTCTGTCCCTCCAAATGTGGTACACTGCAACAGCCAAAGAGAGCTTTTAAACACAGATGAAAAAGTTATCCTCATTACGGTTATGGATTCCCTCATCACCCCATCTTTGTGGGGATCTTCAGACAACAGTTTTTCCCTTCACATCTTTCCAAATGAGTGAAGAGTTGGTACATTCAAAAACATAGGTGCTGGTGAGATTTCCCATTCCATAAGTTCATCTTTTTTTGCCAATCTTTCCTTGCATAAAAGCATGTTTGGGGATATTTTGTGGAAACCAAACAGTTCTGTGCCACTCTACCATAAGAAGCATTTATCTGCATTAGAAAAAAATAGTAATATAATAAGAAGAAAAGGAGAATACAATTATTCCCCATTCCATAAGCGCATTTTGTTTTTATCAAAACGCATTATTAATCATTTATATGAAAGGCAAAAAATATATAATACAATTATAATAAGATGTTTCTGCTATTAAGTTTATATGTGTCTTCAACCTTATTGTGGGAATAAAATCAAGATTAGGATTTTACATCACCAGAGATGCTTATGACATAATCATCCATATAAATCTTGTGTTTTCTTGCATATGCCACTACTAAATTTGGTTAGTCAGATTTTATTGAAGCTTTCTGGAGTGAATGTGAGAAAATTTGAAACTTGTCAGCATATTGTTATCTTGAGTCATTTTATTTTCTATAGCAAGTTCACAAGAAAAACACAGAATAATACCCCTCACCTCTTTCGCTATAAAGAATCTTAAAAAGTTTATTAGAAGCTCATTTCACCTTCATTTGATCAGTTTCCACTTTCAATACAACTATATCCCGAAGGCTTCACCAATCCTCTGCTCTCCATTAATTTTCTCACTCTTACAGCGTCATCCCATCTTCCTGCTCTAGCATATGTATTTGCCAATGTCACGTAATGTCCAGCATATTCAGGTTCCAGATGGACTAAATGTTCTGAAGCAAGCATTGCCACACCAATGCTTTGGTGGGCTTGAGAAGCAGCAAGCAAAGCCCCCCAAATACACTTATCAGCCTTTAGAGGCATTCTCTTAATAAAGCCGACAGCATCCTCAAGCCGACCAGCACGTGCCAGTAAATCAACAACACAAGCAAAATGTTCCATTCCGGGCTTGAAGCCAAAGTCTTTTGTCATTCTGTGGAAGACTTCAAGCCCCTCATCAAGAAGACCTGAGTGGCTACAGGCCGATAACACTGAAGTAAAAGTCACTGAGTTGGGACAAAGGCCAGAACGATTCATCTCATTCAGAAGTTGGAGAGCGGATTTGCCAAACCCGTGCTTTCCAAACCCTCCAATCATTGTGTTCCATGATACTAAATCTCTACTTACCATGTTAGAAAACACAGAATATGCTGTTCCAATGCATCCACATCTGGAGTACATATGGATCAACGCATTCCAAACCGGAATTGACAGACCAAAACTGCTTTTCTTAATGTAGGCATGTATTTGTTTCCCGGATTTTAGATCACACATAGACAAAACAGTGGAAATTGTGGTTTGATCGATCTGTAACCTCATTCTTGGCATTTTTCTGAAACATTCAAGTGCCATATTTTCCATTCCAAGATCAATAAAACTAAGAATCATGGCATTCCATGTAACGACATCAGATTTTTCCATCAAATTGAATACATTTGTTGCATCATTTAGTCTTCTACACCTACCGTACATTGTCAACAATGCAGGTCCAGCTGACTTGTAAAATGCAAACCCCTTTTCAACTTTAATCCCGTAAGCATGAATTTCTCGTCCACATATTAAAGCACCAAGATGCCGGCACGAAACAAGGACACCAGAAATACAATCCAAATCTGGGAAAACTACATTTTTACTCACCATATCCCTAAAGATCGCTAATGTTACTTCATGCTTCCCAATCCTTGAATAACCTGATATCAAAGTGGTCCATGAAATTATATTTGGTTCATTAATCTGTTCAAAAATCTTCCAAGCCTCATTACATTGACCCATTCTGCAATAAGCATCCATTGCAGTATTCCAAGTGACTAAATCAGGTTCAAAACCTTCCAACCTCATAGAATCCAACAAATCCACTGCTGATTCAAGAAACCCATTACACACGTACCCTGAAATCATTGAATTCCAAGACAACAAATCTCTTTCCACCATTCTTCCAAAAACCCGCATAGCATTCTCGATGTCCCCACATTTTGAATACATATCAATCAAAGAATTGCAAACTTGTACATTCAAGTCAGCACCACCAGTGATCACATCTTTGTGCACTTGAATCCCCATTTCAAAGTACCCAGATTGTGCACATGATCGTAATACCTTAGGAAACACATACTTATCGGGAAAAACACCCCTCAATTTCATTAAACCATAAAAACCCAAACACTGATTTGACATTCCGTTACGCGAATAAAACGACAGCATTGCAGTCCATGCAAAAACATTTGGTTGGGACAATCTGTCGAACAAATGGTGGGCAGTTTTCGAATCCTCGAAACCTGCATACATTTGAACTAATTTGGTGATTATGAAAGGGTCTCTGTCTAACCCACGTAGAATGATCTGTTGATGGACTTGTCGTCCTGGGTCTATTGCTTTTGAATTGCTGCAAAGTTGAAGTAAATGGTTGAGTTCTAATGGGGACACGAATTTCGAAGAGGTTGTTGTGGATGGAGATGAGATTGTTCTGTGACAGTGACATATTCTCATCTCATTTGGAATTTTCCGAGAAAGTATTGTCCGAGAAAAAAAAACGAGCAGAGATGTAGATGGAAAATGGAGGCGAGTCTGTTATAGGGTTGTTTTAAGCGTTAACTGTTTTGGACCGGACAGGACTATATCCTGTGCTTTGGACCGTCCCGGTCCAGACGGTTCTCTTAATAAAACATTTTCAATAATTTATTTTTCAACCTTTACCAAAAAAAATTTGAAATCACCTTTATTTTCATTTGAAGACAATTATGGGGTACTTACGTGTAGGTCCTAATAGGTCCAATGAGAAAGATTTATCATAAAAAAAAAATCACTAATTGTAAGTTTTAATGACAATTTATAAAAGGGAAAATTGGTCTAAGGTCCCTCTCCCACTTTTCATAATGGAAGAGATCCACAAAATTATTTTTTGATATCTAAAGTCCCTAAACATATATCAGAGAAATTTGACTCTTTTGACTCTGCTCTACTCTCTCTCTCTCTTTAACAGGTCGCTGGGCAGCCACGCTTTGATACCCAGATCTTGAAGAAATTGCGAATTTTACAAGCTGCCAAGCATGCAATGGCTCCATTCGCAAGATCACAAACGACACCTTCATCCACATCTAGATCTCATCATTCATCTTCATCATCACGAACTTCTATATTGGGAACAATGTCTAACAATCATTCTCCAGATAGAAATAATGGTATCTTGAGTCGCAATGCTTCAGCAATATCATTTATGTGGGGTTTAGGTTCATATACCTCTTTGTTTTCCAGGACAGTGTACTCCAGTCATACTTTTTATTTTTCTTGATGATTTCTCAGATGTTAATTCTGGTTCTAATATTGAGAAGTCAATTGACACGTCCTCATCGAATCAGTCTTCAAGTTTGAGCAGTTTAGCTAGGCCAAGCTTGCCTATGAAAGGATCAGGACCACTTGTTGTGCTAGCACGCCCTGTGAGTAAATCTGAAGGTGGTGTTTTGGACCGGACAGGACTATATCCTGTGCTTTGGACCGTCCCGGTCCAGACGGTTCTCTTAATAAAACATTTTCAATAATTTATTTTCAACCTTTACCAAAAAAAAATTGAAATCACCTTTATTTTCATTTGAACACAATTATGGGGTACTTACATGTAGGTCCTAATTAGGTCCAATGAGAAAGATTTATCATAAAAAAAAATCACTAATTGTAAGTTTTAATGACAATTTATAAAATCATAACAAAAAAAAGTCACTAATTGTCAATTTTTAGCGACAATTTTACTAAGACTTATTTTCAATAGGACTCTATGGGAATTAAGTCCAACTATTAGGACCTATTGATAATTTACCATAAATTTGAATATATATATATATATATATATTCTATTGAAACTTTGCATTTGAATTGAATTTTATGGTAACCAATGTCTTTAATATTGTTTCATAAAACTGAAAAAATAAAAAATAAAAAAATGAAATTCATCATTTACATCTAATTAAACTAGCATATTACCCATGCATAGGGTATAAATAAATAATCAAAATTTATTTTTTAAAATTAAATAATAATATAAAATTTAGGAAAATTTATTTATAAATCTCATATGAGAGGATGTTAATCTATTTAGTTCTAAGAGTTTTCTTATGAATCAATTAGTCCTTTTTATTTTGAAAAGTTGTATTTATTTGATTTGGTGTCATTTAAGTTAAGTGAATGCTTTTTTATTTTTCTAATTTTCTGATTTATTTTTTGGAATGAGATTGGAAAGGTGAGGTGTAGAAGATTCTTTTTGGAGAGATTAGTGGCTAAAGTGTTGGTTGTTGAGCGTGAAAATTTACATTTTTGTTAATGTGATTTTTTAGTTTTACATTAGAGTGTTACGTTTAGAGGGAAAAAAAATACACTAAGGAATTTTGGTGTTACATTGATTGGAGTATTATGTTTGGAAAAAATACACTAAAGAGTTTTTTTTGGAATGTTACGTTATTACGTTTGAGAAAAGTAGACTAAGAAGCTTTTTAGTGTGTTACTTTGGAATGTTACGTTTGAAAAAAGTACACTAAGGAGTTTTTTTGTGTTACATTGATTGAAGTATTACGTTTAAGAAAAGTATATTAAGAATTTTTTAGTGTTATATTAATTAGAGTGTTATATTTAGAAAAAGTATACCAAGAAATTTTTATGGAATGTTACGTAGTTATATTGAAAAAAATACATTGAAGAGTTTTTTTAGTATGTTACATTGAAGTGTTACGTTTGGAAAAATATACTAAGAAATTTTTTTGAAGTGTGATTTAGTAATTTCAACATTATGAGAAATTATACGTTTGTCTGTCAACACATAACACACGCGCGTTTATGCTTGACCCTTTATGTAATGTAATATCACACTATAATGAAACTTTTGGATTCATAAGAAAAAGGAGAGTGCCAAACATTTCATAAGATCATTATTTGGGATTTATTGGTGCTTCACCTTAAAATTTATCTAAAATATGCAGTAAAAATAATTTATAATCAATTAAATACATGTCATAATTTAATTAATAAAAATTAACTAATAAATTACAAAATTTATATTTATGAAAAAATATAAATACATTTTGTTTGATGAGCTTTGTAATTTTAGTTTACCATATGATAGTAGTAAATTACATTTGTTAATATAAAGTATGTTGTAAAATTTTATTTATATAAATCATTTTATACTAAGAAAAAGTATACTAAGAAAAAGTATATTAAGAATTTTTTAGTGTTATATTAACACTTCAATGTAACATACTTTTTCTTGCAATGGTCACAGTGAGAAAAAAAAAATATGTTGTAAAATTTTATTTATATAAATCATTTTATACTTTATGGTGAATAATTTAAAATATTTTAATAAAAAACATGTTTGGTAAAATATTTTTTGAGGGTATGATTTATTAATAATTATTTTTTATTTATATAAATCATTTTATACTTTATGGTGAATAATTTAAAATATTTTAATAAAAAACATTTTATGGTAAAATATTTTTTAAGAGTATGATTTATTAATTATTATTTTTTACTTAGAAAAATCCTTGAGTGTATGATTTATTATTTTTTAATTGGAACACTCCTTACTTATTTGATTGGTGTGCTATAATTATCTAGTTTAATGTAATTTTCCTCATGTATAAATAATCTTTTATTGATTAATCGAAAAAAAAAACTATATTTTTGTTAGATTTTGGCATAATATTTTACGAGACTAGATTGAATTTTTAGAAGGCCATTATCTAAATTATTAAATTTTGAAGGATAACCCTTGGACAAAGTTAACATTTCAAAATTTTAAGAGAGGCAAATTGAAATTTGAGGAGCCTATTATGTAAGGTTCTAACAAATGTCATTCCCATGGGCTTATCTGATACAGTTTATATAGTTGTTTACATATATATATATATATGAAAATTTATTCTAGAAATTTTGTGTAATTTTTACTTATAATTTATGGAAAAAATAATAATTTAAATAAATTGATTATTAAAAAGCATTTTAAAAAAGTTCATTTAGCTTCTATTTTCTAATTATTAAGTTTCAACTTGTTAAAAATTACAACTAGATCTATGAACACCCCAATCAAAAAAAAAAAAAAAAAAATCTATGAACACCAATAAAATACAATAGACTTCAAATTTTTTATCAAATAAATAACTAATTATCTCAAATGAATGTGGAATTCCTAACATTACCTTATGCAGTTGAAAAAGGACAATACTACTATCATGCTCGCTCACCCGTTGTCATCAAGCTACCTCATGATCATGCTCACCCACCCATTGTCATCAAGCTACCTCATCTCTTCAAGGGATGTTTGACAAAGGTTTTTTTTTTGGTTTTTTGGACTAAAATTCACAAAATGATAAAATAAATTAAAATAATTAATAAGATAAAATGTCATATCAAATTCATAATCATTTTAATTTTTTCTTTTACAAACATCACATTCAATTATAAAAAAATATAACTATCTTCTTAAACATAAAAATTTTAACTTATTAAAATAATTAAAAATTAAAATAATAACTTTCCAAACGCCCACGGTATAAGCAACGTCACTAGTCCTCTTCTCATGCTCACTGGGCATCATTGTGATGATGATGTTTCGAACATTAGATTTCGAACATCAGATTAATGTTTCGAACATTAGATTGATGTGCAAATGGGACTAAATGGAACATAAGAAAACTTTTAAGACTAAATGGTTCAACTTTTCAGAAACTAGGACTTATGGATAAATTTTCCATAAGATAAAATGTCACATCAAATTCATAATCATTTTAATTTTTTCTTTTACAAACATCACATTCAATTATAAAAAAAATAACTATCTTCTTAAACATAAAAATTTTAACCTATTAAAATAATTAAAAATTAAAATAATAACTTTCCAAACGCCCACGGTATAAGCAACGTCACTAGTCCTCTTCTCATGCTCACTGGGCATCATTATGATGATGACAACCACACCTCAACAATATTATTTTGAAAAATGCTTGGGAGCACTAATTAGTGCTCCCACTAATTAGGTGGCAGTGGGTCTCGTCATTAATGATGTGATGTTTTGGTCTTGGAATTGTATTTATTTTTTATTTTTTTTTATTTTTTTAATGCATTAGTGCTATTAGTGGTGATATTTTTAGTTGGATGAATCATTGTTGTATTATTTTTTGTTTACTGTCAAAATCCTTACTTCTCAAATCTTTTTAATCTCTGTCATCCATTCTCAATTCTTCAGTTATATAAAAATCTCAATTTAATAATTAAAAAAATGCATTTTGAGACATATAAGAACCGAGAAATTATAAGGCAAATCAAGTAATTGATAATTGTCACACCTCCAATACCACTTGAATGATGAACCAACAATTCACATATAAGTCTTGTTTGAGAAGTTGGTTATAGGGCAAATTACACTAACAATCCCTATAGTTTGGAGTTTGTGTCACTTTGATCTTTGACTTTTCAATTGTAACACATTTGACCATGAATTTTGAATTTTGTTTCAAATAAGGACAATTGAAATATCATTGCTTAATTTCAAGGACAAAATCGTCAGTTTGATAAAATATAAACTAAATTTGACAAAAATAAATGTCAAAAA